CAACGTCATGAAAAAATACGACTTGCCCCCGAACTTGGCCGCGTTCAACGGGCTGCTGAGCGCCCTCTGCAAGTCGAAAAACGTGAGGAAAGCCCAGGAGATTTTCGACGGGATGAGGGATGAGTTTCGGCCCGACTCGAAAACTTTCAGCATTTTGATTGAGGGGTGGGGTCGGGCCCCTAACCTGCCTCGGGCCCGCGAGGTTTTCGACGAGATGGTGAGTTCGGGCCTGAGGCCCGACATCGTAACATATGGGATCATGGTCGATATTCTCTGCAAGGCGGGGAGAACAGATGAGGCCGTTGGAATCGTTAAGGAGATGGAATTGAACGGATGTGCGCCCACGCCTTTCATCTACAGTGTGCTCATACACACTTACGGAGTTGAAAACAGAATCGAGGATGCAATTGACACTTTCCTTCAGATGGAGAGGTCGGCCCGTGTGGGGCCCGATGTGGCCGTGTACAATGCACTCATAAGCGCATTTTGCAAGGTTAATAAATTCAAGAACGCATTCAAAGTGGTGAACGAGATGGATAAGAAAGGGGTGAAGCCGAATTCGAGAACATGTAATATCCTCATTAATGGTTTAATATCTCGGGAGGAAAGAGAGAAGGCGTTTAAGGTTTTCCGTAGTTTGTCAAGGATTTGCGAGCCTGATGCGGACACTTATACGATGATGATTAAGATGTTTTGTGAGATGGACGAGCTGGAAAGAGCGATGAAAGTGTGGAAGTATATGGAGAGGAAGCAGTTTTCGCCGAGCATGCACACGTTTAGTGCGCTTATTCACGGGTTTTGCAGTAAAGGCGATGTGTCGAGGGCTTGTGTTTTAATGGAGGAGATGATGGAGAGGGGGATTCAGCCTGGAAGGCATACATTTGGGAAGTTGAGGCAGTTGCTTATTAAGGAAGGAAGGAAAGATGTGCTTGAGTTTTTGCAGGAAAAGATGAATCTTTTGGTGAAAGAACCTTTGTGTGATTGAGACAATTTTGTCCCTTTGGGGACATCCGATAAAATTGGAACGATACAAAGAAGATTAGCATGGCCCTTGCGCAAGGATGACACGCATAAATCGAGAAATGATTGAGGCAATTTTTTCTTTTCGTTTTTTTTTTAAGCATTGAAGCAAGTTCAAGTAATTGAATGGAATTCCTATGTGCTAATGTTTTAACTCAAATTTAACTTAATTTAACTCTATTGTCTCGATATTATCAATATAATTAAACAATATGAATCAATCATTCTTACACATCACATCAACTTTAATTTACTATTCATTCACTTATATAATTTTAATTGATATCATTTCTCACCATCTATCTTCTACTTCTACTCAAATAAACTCTAATTATTTTATTTTATATTATTTTAAAAATAACTAACATCTCACTAACAACTAATAAACTAACAATTTAAATTTTATATCTACGCATTTTTCAAAAACCAAACAAAACCAAGAAATCTATCTTCTACTTCTACTCAAATAAACTCTAATTATTTTATTTTATATTATTTTAAAATGAACTCAACATCTCACTAATAACTAATAAACTAACAATTTAAATTTTATATCTACGCATTTTGCAAAAACCAAACAAAACCAAGAAATTTTATATCGACGCATCCCCTTGTGTTTTCACAATAATAATGTGACTAATGTAACATAATAAAGTAAATAAATAAAATTACATGATGCAAAAGAAAACTATTCTCATTAGCTGGTGCTACTCATCAATGCATTGGTTGTAAGAGTTCGGTCGCGTTCTTCGGCGCTTGAAATCGATGAACCAGATTTCATCCTCAATGATTCTGCCGAAAGGAAAACAAATCGTTTATGAAAATGTCATACTTAAATTATAAATCGAGTAGTAATAAACAAATAATAATGAACCATAGCCGACTTACCCGTACGCTTTCTTATAACCGCAGCATTTTCAGGTCCGCAGCTCGTCTGAGCGTAAGACAATAAGCTGTTATAGATGTGAGCAGAAGGTGGAATTCCAGCATCGTCCATCCATTGCATGACCTTCCATCAAAACTCGAACTTCTTTTCTATCATGTTGCATTAATTCTAAGGGAAAATTAAGTAAAAAAATCTTACCTCGATATATTTTCTCCAATTCCCAGCAGCTAAAAGATTCTTCAACAAAACTGTGTATGTACTCGAGTCGATTTGTGCACCCGATGCGACTACTTTCAGAAACAACTACAGAAAAAACAATGATACGATTGAGAAATTAATTCTGATAATCAGCATTTAATGCAATTTTCTTCGTGGAAAATCAGATAAACTGCCAAATACGATAATACCTTCATCATGGTGTCAATTTTGCCAACTTTTCCGAAACAATGGATAAGATGGTTCAAAGTTCCAACTGATATACGAGGAAGATAACACTCCATCATTTGAATAACTTCAGTCAAGGTCTTCCAATCTCGCAAACTTCAGCAAAAGAACAAAGTCTAGTTACATTTTGAATTTGATATAGCGTGCAATTTGCAAAACATTTTAAACGGGCAAAAGACTTACATGCTGCAGGCAGAAACTATTTCAAAGAACACGGCATCATCGAAAACGAGCTTTTTCTCTCTCATAAACTCAGCAATAAGGATGATTTTGCCCGGTTCAGATCCACGATTGAAAGCTCTCATAAGAGCTGAACAAGCAACTGAATCTGGCTGGACACCATTTACTTCCATCTCTTGAAAAACTCCAAAAGCTTTCTCCCATTGCTCTGCACACAAAATGTAATCAAACCCAAGTCTGGTTCGGGACTTTGTACTGAACTGTAAAAATTTCACAATTTGACACACTAAATTGAACTCACTCACCTGCAGAACTATAAGCATGCAGCATTGCTGTATAGGCGATAACATCTGGATGCAAACCATCCATTTTCATCGTGCTGAACAATGATTCAGCTTCAGCAAGCTGACCCTGAAAGATAAAAATAATACACACATATATAAAAAAAAATATTAAAATTAAAATGACTTACGAGTCGTGAACAAATTTGAAACTTACCTGTTGGCTATAAGCACAAATTGCAGACGAATAAACCTCGGTCGACAAAGGAATCTTCAGATCCCTCATCTCAGCAAGAAATTCTATCGCTTCACTAAATCTCGACATCTTACAACATCCGCTAATCAAAACATTAAAAGTCACAGAATCGGGCTTAACCATCTTTTCCCTCATCTTCCTGTAAATATCTACAGCTTTACAATATTCCCCAACATTCATATAACTCCCAATAGCAGAGTTGTAAGCAATCGTGTTCAATTTTATCCCTCGCAAGTTAGCGGCTTTAAGTACCGAATCGATCTTCACCCTTTCACAAGACCTACCACACGCGGCCAGTAACGTACTGATCGAGACAACATTTGGCTGTATCCCAACTTCATCCATTTCACGCAGAAGCTCAACAGCTTGAGCTAGAAAGCCGTTCGATCCATATGCATCGATAAGAGCATTGTAAGTCACCAAATTCGGCTTGCAATTGTTTTTTCTCATCATGTCGAATACTTCCCGGGCCTTTTCGGGCTGTTGTGATCTTCCGAACGCATTTAGCAAAGAAGTGTAAGTCACGACGTCCGGGTGGACCCCACCACGCTCTTTCATCTCGAGAAAAATCGACATGGCTTGTTCGCTCTGACCGAGCGAGGCGTACGAACCAAGCAAAGTGTTGTACGAGACGATGTTCGGTTTTAAACCCTCAGCAAGCATTGTGCTGAAAACCGCTCGGCAGTTTTCGGCCTGCCCACAAATAGAGTACATATGCATGATGCTCGTGTAAGTAACAATATCCGGAGGGGATGATACGGAACTTTTATCTCCCATCGAATTGAAAATTCGAACGGCTTCCTCGAATCTCCCGAGCTTAACGAGGCAATGTATAACGATATTGAGGGTCGTTGTGTCTGGATGGACATTATTTGTGCTCTTCATAAGATCGAAATACGCGATTGCTTTTGAGTACTGTGATCCGGTTTTGTATGCTGACAGGATTACGTTGTGAGTGACTAGATCGGGCCCGATTCCATTATCAGTCATCTTTTTAACAACTCTCAGTGCCTCCTTCCAATTGCCGCTCGACCCGCATGCGTTGATCAAATTGTTATA